AGGCAAATACATCATTTAAAATGACACCTTAGGAAATTGTGGCATGTCGGCCTTATAAAATAATATAGTGTTAACTTGAATTAATTTGTAGGTTTATTTAAGTTGTGAGATTATTGATCAGTTAACATGGAATATATGAAATAATAATAATAAAATATCATTAAACGTATTTGATCGAGGATAAAATAATTTGGTTAGAAACTATAAACGTCATAATAATAATAACAATGTTATTAAGATATGTAAATATGGTAAATTTAAGCTATGAAAACACAAAGAGAAATGCTGTGTGTTAGTTAAATTATGTCTTCATATTGTCGAAATGATTGTTGACTAATTAGGCCAGAATTAAGTCAATTTAAAAAGAGCGGTTGGTAATATATCGTTTGGACTCATAGCTCAGGCCTTTTGATCTGAATTGCCATTGCTTCAGTGATTCTTACAGTTATGGATTTAAGCAGATTACTGTTAACATCACATATTACTATTAATAACTGACTTGTGTTGTCTGCATGATTCATTTGAACCAAATGAAGTCATGTTGAACTAGTAAGAATTATAACTATACCTTTTCCTGACCCTATTGGGAGATGCTCTAGAGTACAAACATCATAATTCCTATAACATCTCCCAATATAACTTCTTCTATAGGAGTAATTGAATTATTAGAGGTGCCCGGTCTACGTTATTAATTATGTGATCTCAGAGTAACCATCGGACGCGTAGGAAACATTGATTGTAGCTTCGCTGTATTAAAAGTCCACATAATTGCTCTATGCAACATTGAGTACTTTCCACCCATTTGTGACTATTATCTGTTGAATTTTTAAAATCATTCCAAATCATGCAAAATTCATCAATAATACGATCTGTTGCTAATCATCAAGCATGACATAAGTCAGTTAGTCAGCTACAACGTAGGACCAGGCACATACATGCATCAGTCCAAGTTGCCACACTTCATTAGCACAGCAAGACGAACACCGGATTCATAGAAGCCGTTAACTCAGTGGTGTAATATATAAAAGAAAGATTTTACGTAAGGATATAATATCGCTCTTCGATCGACCTGTCTGGCATGATAGAACCTTGAGGAACAGCTGTTCCCACCAGTATGGCTCGGTTGCTTCATCACGATAAGTAAGCCCGACCACCATGTCAAGGTAGCAAAAACAGTCGAGAAGCATGACATAAAGGCTTAAACGGATATAAATAAATATATTTTCAGTGTTATACTCCTATTTCATCAACTTAAATACAATTTAAATATGTAATTACATTGTTTGATTACATTTTACCAATAAAAAAGCAACCTAAATTGATTATACAATCATGCAGAAATGTGAAAATAAAATACTTAACTATTATATAGAATTCTTACAATTTCCATAAAATAAAACGTTCAATTAAGGATTTTACCTAATAAACTTAATATCCCATGTTTTTCCGTATTAATGTATTATTATGATGTGGGTCGGATTGTTTATATCCTCAAGCCTCTGGAATATTCTAATTTACTACAAGGAAATGTTTAATAAAATTAATTGACCTTTAAGTGTTAACCACTGATCTAAGTAATATGAAACCTAGGTCTAAGTTTTCCTATTGAATCCATCCAATCACGAACTAATAATGTTCCTTATAAATGAAACTCTTCAAAGTATGCCTAATGAATATATAGATCTAAATGAATTTTAATAAATTTTTTTAGTTTTTAATAGAATAACTCTTATTATTAGTCTTTTCAGTAGACAATACAAAAGACGCTATTTTTCAGAAATAAAAAACAAACAAACTTCAATTACACGTTTTAATTTATCTTCTTTACTTTACATTTAATGTGACATCAGCTAATTATTAGTTATGTAATCTTTTTATTCATTACACTTCTTGTATACGTGCAACTAAAACGCGAAAAAAAGAACGATTTCATTGAAATATAGATTGATTCACAGGGTAAAAAGCAAATTTGTAATTTTACTTCTACTACACCTTCCTTTTTCTTCTCCTTCGTCATTGTCGTCGTCGTTCTCTTCTCATTCTTTTCCTTTATTCACTATCATTCTTTTTATAGCATACTCATCATCAAATTATAAAATGTGATGTTCATTAGGCACAGGATGTTGAACAATCATTATGGTTAGAATCTTAACAAATTTAAAGCTTTTAATTAATTAATTATTAGTTTGAATAGTTATTGCTTAACAGTGAAAACATTCCAATTACAGGTTTTAACTGCCTTTTTTAATAGTTTTCTTTTATCATTAATAGACAAGTTATATTTTTGTTGTTGTTGTTGTTGTTATTGTTTTCTAATGATTTTCTATAGAAAGTTAGACAGTTTTCAAATGGTCATTAAACTTGATCAAACTTGAAATGTTATATGTAGAATAACAATAAAATTATTTTCTCTTTTCCATCATAAACACAAGTGATTTACTTTTCAATTTTTCTTTTCTATTCAAAACTAATGCATCATTAGTTCATTTATTGAATTTTCTGTTCTTATTGTAGTCATTTCCCTTTAAAGATTATTAAACCTTATACAGTGTTATTAAAGAGGAAGAATGTATTTGTAACATTTCAGCGAAAGAATTTGAAATAAATCCAACGTTTTGCCTGGAAATCTGGTCCAAGCTTTTTCATAGAAAATATAATCAAACAACAAAATTATCGATTTACTTCAAATTATTTTGCTGAGATTTTACAAACACATTCTTTTTCTTTAATAACTCGGCGCCCAAATATTGTGAAACTATATGTTCAAATTTAGACGAAAGTCCTTACTTCTTATACAGTGTTAGTTCCAATTTCTGTTATGCAATATGAAAATGATTTATTTCGAATAGCTGGTTATTTCTGATGGTAAAAGACAACCCAAAGTTATTTCACAGTAGTTACTTTTTTGATGAAAGGATTAAATAGAACGAATATATAAGATTATTTCATATAATGTCATTATCTACGTTACTTTTTATGTTAAGATGAATTGGTTTTATCAACAAAACTAACCAATCCATATCATTTGATCACTTGTAGTCAGACTAACATTGAAATAGGTGGTAGCAAGAGCATAAGTTTAGATATGTAGTGTCGGTTATTACGTTAAGCCCATAAACCTTATTCTTGCTTTCGCACAGGCCATTCTACTTGAGTCACATTCCGACCTTGTTTTTTATTCGCTTACCAATCTTGACTGCTTTTATATGAGCGCGTAGGTGTGTGTGCATTTCTTATTCCATTACTGGTCACGTATCTGTAACTTACTTTTGTGTTACCATAAATAGTGAATAACGCTTGATTAAATGAGAGTTGGCTTAACCTCCTCTCCACTCTGCATTGTTTCTCTTCTCTCTATTCCATTCGCTTCATATACGAAATATATGTACTCAAAAAATCATTAATCGTTATTTGACCTATTTAATTCCGTTCTTGACTAACTCAATTTAAGTCGATGATTATATACGAGGATAGGCGATAACCAACATTCATACGATTTAACTGGAATCAGAACCACAGGCCACTAAAGATACACAACAGGCCTCAGATTATTGTGTATAAAAGAAAAATTATATTTGTCAATGCAGCTGAATTTTTTAATTCACGACCGTGTTGCCATGTTAATGTCATTCCAAAAACAGTGATATGTATTTGATGTGAATTATTTTAACAAGCATTATTCTTTTTCAAGTGAACATGACTAGTTTTAATTAACGGTAATAAAAATGATGATTATAACATTTTCTTTAATTAATCACTAAAAACATTTACCAGAACAAATTTGTTGAAGGGTAAAACAAATTAAGATAAGAATAACACATTTTGATATCTCCATAGTAACAACGACGTCATTTATATATTTAGTCAATCAACTGTCAAAAATGCAGCTTTATTTTCTCAGGCGATTATTTCATGACATGATTAAATAATATAGTGGTCATTTCAATTCAACTCATGGGATGATAATTTTTACTTATACACGAAAATGTCTCAAACGCTTACTAGAAATTTGTCAACGAAATGTTATATAATATTGTATGTTTATTCATAAAATAAAAAAATTGTTTTAGTACGAAACGTCTTTCACTCCATCAGTCGTATACAACATAAGTCCTATCATAATTATGTCATACCACATTGATGAAAACACTAATTAAAATGATAGTTAATTGGTTGCGTGAAGCAAAACAGCTAAGGTATCAGTTTTGGTATTTTAAAAAAAATGTAGATTAGATCTGAACCCATTTAACATAAGGCCTACATTGCAATAAGCATAAGTGACAAAGTTTCAGTGCTGCCAAATTTGGACAACTTGTACACGCTTTTTGATTGAAATTTAAACTAAGAAATTGGATACGGTACTTGGTTAGATGTTTGTGTTAGTAGTCGTGAAGCAGTATCATTTCATATTCAAATATCGGACAGCTATATTGTAATTTTAATAAATAACAGTTAAGTATATCTCTTAATCGTATTATATATTGCACTGAATCCATTTGTTTAATAGATAGTAAAGTACTCTTTCATGAAAAATTTAAAAGGAGAAAGAAATCACCTAGTAAATACACTCAGTTTTTAAAAAAATAAATTGTACAGCTACTTTTCGTATAATTCAAATTGTAATCGAATTTACATATTCCATTATTTCTTTATGTATGTAGGGGTAGAGTGCAGTACCTCTATTTAAAAATATACCAATGAACACAAACTTTGTACTGGGATGAATACCAGTCAGATATTATGAACATCGTAATTAGGTCATATAATCAGTTCGTCCAAAAAATATGAATTTATTAAAATCTCATTAGTTCTGACTGAATTTGAGCGATTAGACTCTGTATTTCAGTAAATAACTGCATACAATGATACACCTTTCAGATGTATTAAATATTCATTATTAATAATGTTTGTAATGGAAATAATTATATCATATTATCCGAATAACAAAATATGATATACATTAGTGTTTGATGTCTATTTAAACAAAAAGAAGTACTTACCCATTAAAATCTTTGTATTATTCCATTATATACAACAAGCTACAATTCCATATCACTATCGGTTTATTTAAACAGTGGAACAATATTGATAAAATTTTATTATCAGATTGTTAAATTCTTTTTCTAATCAAGAATAAATTCAAAATTACCATTTTACCTGGATAGTTTTTTATTGGTTGATATGCACCAATCAGGATAAAGTCATTTTAATTTCAGCATATTGTTTCCTTTTTTGATTGATAATTGTACAAACGTATTATTTAATTCCATTTATGCCAAAATCTCGTTTATGTAGAGAATTTTAATCTTTTCACTATATAGTTGTGGAGATTGTTGAGTTTTGGTTGAGATCATGAATTGAAAAATGGTAAATCACCAATAAAGACCTGGAAGCACTGGATGAGAGTTCCGTACTAGTATGGGGCTCCTCAGCCATTCAAATCTTCTATTCGAAACCTGAGGTTATAATGAAAAACCGTGACCAGTGGAGTTCACGTATGTTTGGTGTGAGGCAGTTGTCCACTGTAGACAATAGATGATGGTCGTGCAACATCGTGGGTTGATTGAAATTAGCCATTACCACCACTGAAAGTCAGCTCGGTGGTCTGGAAGTTAAGTGTTCGAGTGAGAGACCGAAGTTCCTTGGTTTGAGTACCGAGTGTGGGGTCGTGGGCAAGCACTGCTGAAGAGACCTACACTAGTATGAAGTGGTCATCCTGTTCTTCCAGATTTTCATTTTGTTGATCATTTTGCAAATAACAACTGACGGATGTCTGATTTAATTGGTGTCTACATCATAGTATATTTTGTTTTCATAAATCTACTGAAATAATTACGAATCAGGTAATTTCGTTTAGCCTAATAAACAAATTAGTTTCACTGGTTACTGAAGAAATAATAGCGTGAATTTGTTTCATAAATCCAATCCTTTTACAAATATTTCTTATAAAACAATAATGAATGTTTTGTACAGTCATAGGTACTGAATCTTATTCATGGAATATTTATGTAAATGTATATTTTCTTTTCAAAATAGTCTTTTTATTAAATACAATTGAGCTATTCTGACATTATCATGTTTGTTTTGCCGAAACAATATTAACGGAGCACAAAAACATTTTCACTTGACTTTTCTTCGTTTAACTACATTCTATCCAGAATTAAGGTCAGCGAGAAATAAAAACATTAAAAAGATTTATTATATTTATAACATTAAACATTTCTAACGTTTATACAATACCGTTGTAATATTGTTTTTCAAATTGTTTACTAACAATTATTTGCAGAGAAGGAGGGAAAGAAAGAAAGAAAGAGATACATAGTAATCATATAATAAACTACAAACAATTTCATCATATGTATAGTTTCTACATTATGACAAATTGTAATCTAAATAGCTTAAATCAAGATAAGTATTCGACTGAATGGATCATGATTCAGTTGAATAACACAAGTGAATAGTAAATGTTTTAAGATGTTCACTTAAACTGAAAATGTATCTTAGTAGTTTTAAAGTTTATTTTTTTAAAAAGTGCAGTTTGATATTAACCTGTACATATAACTGGTTTTCGATAATATTTTGCCTTATCTATTTTTCAATAAAATGGATATGTATATAATGATAAAATGTAACAATAATGATCTAATACACCAGCTTCTAAAGATATTAAACTATCGACCTGTATAAATTCACTTGATATTGTTTACTTGAATCTGCAATTGATTAGTCTCTTATCGGCATATATGCACACTATGAGTATTGCCTCGATATTGCCTTAATTCACGAGTATTGTAAGGAAGAGTTGATAGTGGCTAGTAGTGGAATCCAAGACGCGCGTTTCCTCCTAGCTAAGTTAATAACGCAATGGCGCTTGAAGCGAACGGTACTCGGTTTGAGTCATAGCGTGAACATCAACTCTGAGATGCAGGTACATCCAGCTGACTAGTCCCAAATAGGACGAAACACGCGTCCAGAATCCCATTGCTAGCCACTCTCCATTCTTCCTTACATCGACCTATTTGTTGTTGTACAGTTCATGTTTTCTTCATTTTCCAATAATATTGCAAAAATATTTAAATATATTTTTATACTGTTGAACAGATTACAAATAAGATGTTGGTTATATCATAATTTCTTTCCGTTATTTTATTGATCCTTAATGTCGTTTTCAATAAAACATTCAATTTGAGTTCATCTTCAAGTTAAGTTGTAAACAAGAAAACATTCTTAATTAAATTAAGTCGATACTGTTATGAGATGAAAAATATGATGTGAATAAACAATTGAGTGACATGAACGACTTAAAGTTACAATTACGAAGACTAAGTCATATGGTTTTAATAAAACAAACAATTTATATATTTGGGACATTCAAAAGGATGGTAAAGGTAAAAATCTATGGAATATTTTTCCTAGGAATTTTTTTCTCATAATGAATTTTGCACATATGCTACATATGCAAATCCTACATTGATATTCATAACCAGTAATAGAATGGAAGCTATTTGAACTAAATAGCTTAGTCAATATTATGTTAATATTTGAAGCGATCAGTATCATGTTTGAGTATCAGTGTCAACAATAATACTGAAGTACAGTACAACCAGCTGAGTTAGGTGAATCACGAGGATTAAATTATACTGCTTGTGACTATTAAAATGATGCTGAAGTAGCTTTTGACATTAATTTTAAACATATTTATCTTATTTATTAGTTCCTATTCTTATTTAAGTTGCACCGCTTGTTGCCAGGATCGAATTGTTATTTCATAGAATGTTTTAACAATTTTAGATTACCATTGATTTTAGCTTTTATCCAGTGAAATTTAAGACTAACTGTGTTCAGACTCAGTGTTCTAAAAAAAATCCTCCAATTTTTCATTACTCCATTGGTGTGATAAATTATCATGTTATTACAAAAAAAGCCGAAATATTTAGTTTGTAATTTTTGTGAAATTCACTAGCTTCAGTATACATTACAATCATTGCTTGTTAACCTGTATCTTCCATTATTCAGAATTTTTATAACAAAATTGGGACGTTTTATTAAACTACAACATAGTGACTTTATAAAATGGAAACTAAAACCTTAGCGACTGACAAAGACCGTTGATTTTGTAGTTTTAAAAATCCCCTCCAATTATAAGCGTTGAGTCTAAAGCCTTCAAGATCTTCAAGCTTTTCATTTCAAAAAAATAATGAGAAGCTGAAATTATTGATAACATGGTATCAATTAACGGTCAAGTATAGTAAAATAGATTAGATAACAAAACATAAGCTTCATAATGCTATTAGTTTTATCTCGTCATGAATGTTTTGTTTCGTTCAGTGGTATCTGTTACAAAAGGAAATTTAACTCTAAATTATAATTTTCATACCTCACAGAAATGTTTAAACTTATTTGATAATATAAATGTCGATGTTACCTGTTAATTTTTGAGTATTTCATGTACTGTTATTCACACTCAGTTACACTATCCACTTTCATCTATAATTTAAGCTTACTCGCTGCGTTGAAAAATCAATGATCTGTTAAATAATTCTGTTTTAAATAGCTGATATATTAAGATATCATACACCCATGAAGCATGTAAAAACACAAAGTTTAATAAATTATTCACAATAATCGTATATCAATTGGTAAATAATGAATAAAATAAAATTATTATCCGGTATAGAATTATAGTTTAATTCAAGCATTGTTAATGCTGTAATTCTTTGAAGTGAAAAAGTGTACAACTGTGATAAAATACGGAATAGATGGAATATGACTAGTAGTAGAATCTAGGACAGACCTTTTGTTCCACACCGAGGTCATCAGCTAGATGTACATGAATCACGGATTTCATGTCCACCCCGGGACCGGAACCCAGTACTATTCACATGTCAACGTGTTATCTATTTCGCTACTGATTTCAACTATGAAAATTCTACAGTCCCCTTCAAACCCTGCTACATTGATAATAGGTTTATGTTGTCATAAATACGAAGATTAGTTGCTCAACAATCTAATAATTATGATAGAAGCTGTTGTTTTTATCTCATGAAATAAATGAACAATATTAGAAGAGTACGATTTACTTGCTATTAACTTTAATGAAGCATATTTTGCAATAGAAAAGGCATCTGATCTTTATGAATTACTTATTTTTCTAGACTTTGATTAAAACTTGTTAATCGATGAAAAGTTTCCAAAAAATAGTTTATTTTTGGTGTGTTCCATTTTACTGACGGTAAATTATTAGAAGAATTAAATGAACAGATTTTATATTATTTTGTAGATATCAATACTAAAGTTGAACTTGATAGTTTCAAATCAGTTGGATACTGGGTATATAGTTAATAATAAATATTTTTTTGTTAAGTCTCAACGAGTAGAATATTATATTTCTGACGTTTCGTGACTTAATATAAGCCATTTCTCCACAGAAGTCACGAAACGTCAGAAATACAACTTTCCACTCATTGAGATATAACAAAACAATATATATCTTGTTCTTATTTTTTGTTTAAAATTTTGTCTGTGGATCCAATGTAAGTGAATAACGAATGTTCTAGGACATATTCCTACAGATTTCATCATCATCTATATGATCACATGAATTTCAACTTGTCTATATTCATATATATAACTTTAGTAATGAGTATATTAACATGTAGTATGATAAACATATTTTCAGAGCATCTAATTGCAAGTGTTGTTTAACTTATAGGTGAGGAGTGAAGTACAAAATTCACTGGAATGTCACTAAATGGTTATTAGCACATAATGTACCGAAAAAATTAATGAAATGTTCTTTAATTAGCTTATAATTTTCATCAAAGTCCAGTAGTTTGTCAGTTAACTTTCATAATCTAAACAAATATCTTGACGGTATTTTGTATAATCTGTAACGGTCCTAGATGTAATTTCAGTCAATTGGTTGTACTGACAGCTCAGTAGATTTTACCATGCTGAGATTTAAACCTAACATTAAAGTACTTGTATTTTATACTTGTAACGTAACAAATTGATGAATAGTCATATATTTTTTCTAATTACTCAATACAACGGTAACTCACAAATAGAAACATATAGATGATAATGATGAGCTCATTTATATTCATAAT